CCAAACAAACTAACAAAGAACATATTTACTTTTGTTTAATGAACATTTCTTGAATTTCAAGGGATACAAAAATTTAGACAGAACAGTTCAAAATTTTAAGAATACTTCACATCTAATAATATTCTCGTCACCAGTCCTGAGGGGAAGTTGTCCTGGAGACAAGTATACTAATACTTGTTGATATAAACATAAGTGTTGACAGTTGCCAATTGAGATAGCATGAAAGGAAGAATTCAACTACAGAATGATCTTAAGGTAACACAGGCTGACACAATCACGTTCAAACACAGCTCAAAATCAACTTCAGTTTCATGTTAACATAGAGTAAGCCTGTACAATAATAAATTCAAACACAGCTAGGAAATTAATCTGAAAACTATATTCTTTTCTTTTTTAACTGAAAGACTTCAGAGGCTTTATTCAATTAAAAGAGAGAAAAATAAATCATATTTTTAATGGTAAAAAGCGTACAATAAAATATATAAATTTTTGGGACCAGTATATGGTTGAATGTGTTCAAACTGTCACCTGTATAAAACAATCCCCTTTACAAACGGCCAATGTCAAATTCCTCTCTTGAGTATTTTTTACATTATAAAGACACAGTGTAAGATGTCCACCTGTCTAAGCGACAGCCACTTTTCTCCTTGATAGTGGGTGGCCATCTGAAATGGTCTCAACTCTATTTTACCCTTATTCAATAACGATTAAGCTTAAAAATAGTTATTGAACAGCTTGATATTCCTGGCCTTCTGTACCTTGCTTGCCAAAGGAAAGCCCCCAATAATATAGGTTTCTCACTCTCATCGAGCGGATGAGTGAGTATCGATGTAAAGAAAAATTTCAAAATAAACATAATTTCTTTATTATAATAATCTACCAGAATAGCTCAAAATATTTACATGAAAGAAACCATAGAGAATTTTTTTAAAGTGTTTGGCAAAATTTGGCATATACACGTTTAGAGTTGGACACTGATAATGATTTGGGGCCTACTAAATCTCCCACATTTTTGGGGATTTTTTGCCCCCTTCACATCTTTCTTACATCCCCCCCCCCCCCTCCTGTTATATTACACTGTTCGTTTATAATAATAATAGTATGACATTGCGCAAATCCATGTTACAATCATTGCTCAAAGCGCTTTACATAATATTCATGAAAAACATGCATACACACATACATGCACATAATAATATCAGTTCTACATTCACTCAAAAATAACAGAGCAAATCATTCAAGCAAAACATTGCTAACACTCTTTCTTACTAATAGGCCTAAGGAAAAAATTGAGAATCATGTCAATGTCAAAAGCGCCTTAATTACAAAAACAAAACAAATTACAGTGGAATTCTGATAAAGTTAACACATCGGGACAAAAAAAAGTGAAATATTACATTGGTTCAAGACTTTCTTACTTCTGTCTTTCACCTATATCCCTGATCTTATGGTAGGTAAGATCTAATACCTAGCCTTCTTGGATAAGGGCTAACAATCTTGGAGGTCACGCATGCAAGTTGCACACGTGTCAAAGATCCCTTGGGGGTCCAAAATCGATAAGAGTAGGCTTCAACCACCATGCCAGACAAAATGCAAAATTTCCTACGAACTGAAAGAACTGAAAATGTTTAATGTGTGCCACGCTCTCATAATAATATGACCTTTTGCTGCTGCGAATGTCATAAAACACTTACCCAACAAAAACATTTTTTTAATGGAGTCGTTGGGCAGGATCCTCAATTTCATTGAACCTGAGTGTTCATTATAGCAAACATGAGGTTTTGTGTAGATAATTACAGGCACCGACTGAATAAAGTATAATGTATCCGACTTTCTAAATCAAAAGTTGTTTCACCCTGAAAACAACTTCGTTGAATCCGAGCTTGCCCATTAATGTGTCAGTTTAATCCAACTTATTTTTATTGATCTTTATTAATTAATAAAAAATAAAAACATAGAAATCTAACTCCTTTACCTGAATCCGAGTTTTCATTGAATCCAAGTTCCACTGTCCGGACAACAATTTCCTGGATTCATAAACACATTTTCAAACACCACGCTTAATACTTCGGATAGAATCTGCGTTCTGGGGACTTGAACTTAAAACACTCTAGATCACATTTATTGCACATCAAATCAACGTGACTCTTTTCACTAACAGTTTTGCAGAATAACACATACTTAAACTTAACATTCAAACACTAAACTCTTTGAGCAACTCTTGAGGCTACCATGCCTCTCTGCCTGAGCTACTGAGTGATATATTTACTAACATTTATATGTGACACGACGCAGTGGAATCAGGCGCTCATCAAATTTTGGGCATGTGGAGTTATTGGATTCATCTAAAAGCTGATTTATTTGCCTTGCTTCCACTTAAATAAAAATCCATTTATCTTGGATACAACTCGACATATGTGATTGAAGGAAGTGAGGTCGTCTGGTTTCAGTGGTGAAATTAGCGAGAAAATGGTCGCTAAAGTCTGGTAACTCCAATGACTAAAGAGTCTTTGAAACTGAAAAATGAAATATTTTGTGCCTTTAATCAATGTTTTTCAGTAAAATTCCTCCGAAAATGTGTTTTCATACGGATATAAAAGAGGTTATGCCAAAAAATAAAATTTCGATTAAAATGTCCATATTGGCAGAAAAATGCCTGTTTCTCTGATTTTGCTATTTTGACAAGCGCCTGATTTCACCACACTGCCTCACATATTATTATGATCGTCAGAATATTCAAAATCCCACTCAGGGAAGTCCTCGTCACTACCAGCATCTAATTCAAAGATCTTCAAAATAAGCAATAACGTCCTGTGTAATAAAAACAGTTTTCCATGCACATTTTGTCTCAGATGGTCCGGTTTGGGGATTAGGGTTTCCCTCCCCGGGTTATTGGTAGTTAGGCATACGGGCAATTTTACGTGCCACCGGTGTACCCGCGGCTACGGCTCAAAGGGTTAATATTAGAAGAGAGAGAAAAGTGAGGCATCGCGCGCGGAGAAGACAGGCGCTCGTCAAAACAATGAAATCAAAGAAATCGACATTTTTTGGGCCGATAGGCAACTTTTAAAAAATTTTCTTTTTTTGGCTCAATACCTTTTATGTCCATTTAAAAACACATTTTTGTGAGGATTTTACTGAAAACCGTTGATTAAAAGCCTAAAATAATGTAAATTTTCAGTTTCCAAGGACTCTCGGGCTATATGAAAGTTACCAAACTTTTGCGAATTTCTTGCTAATTCTACTTCTGAAACCAGGCGACCCTAAACTCCTTCAATCGCAAATATTTCGACTTCTATTCAACATAGATGGATATTTTTTTCACCAAAAGGAAGGCAAATGATGCCAAAAACCCCATATGCCCAAAAACTGATAAACGCCTGATTCCAGGTCGTCAGGACACTAATAGCATTCACACATTGATACATCATTATTAGCAGAAAATTTTAACAAAATACTTCACGACTCTTTCACTTCAGTTTTTCAGCGGTTACATTTAACTCATTCGCTTCGCCGAGCCGTGGGGGGCGGCGCGCTCAAGTGCCGTCAGTACGTTAAGCCGCCCCAGGCGGCTCGAGAACCGACGTTCAATTTTAGCTTGGTTTCTATTCCAATCCACTTATCCATGTTAAAATAAAGGTCATAATATAATGTTGACTTCCGGGTCAAGCGTTTCCACCGAAAATCGGAAGTTTTGATTCAGTTTTGAAACATGATTTCGTAGTTTATTCGACTTTGTTTTATCGCGAAGCCCAAATTATAGCCCAGACACCAGTCTTAGTACTTTTACACAACAAAATGTATCATTATTTTGCTCACTAAAGAAGTGTAGGACTCTTCTTTATAATATTGATACTATTGGACGCAAATTGCCAGGGCATTGTAATTGAGAAATCAATATTTTTGAGTGCTAGATCTAGGCCTAGATCTAAATAGTCAAAATATTTTTTTCTCCCCAAAATCACTACTTTTGGGTGAAATATATCAAAAAGTACCACTCAAGACATGTATAGGTTTATTCCAAATGCAATTCTGAATAATTCCATATAAGTTACGCGTATTTTTTTCTGTTTGTGATCCTTTTTTCAAAATTATATAAAAATTTTATTTTTTTTCAATATCGGATGTTATGATCCAAATGTACAAATATTATGGAATGTATGTAAATAACTGCACATTTTTCAATATTTTCCTGTTCAATATACAGCTATGGTTATTTTGAGGTATCATTTGACTAGGTGCAAACATGTTTTTTTTAGTTTCACCTGAGATTATAAATTTTTTATTTTCCAATTTTATCCGCATCCAATCACAATTGTGTTGCATAATCGCCTCTTACAGGAACCAAAGTTGAAAAATACGCAAATAAATAATGCAGGTGTATTCTACAAACCATACTGAAAATGTTGGTATATAATATGTTGATTTTTATTTGAATTTATGGCCCCCAAGACCTGTGAACTGCGCACTAGTCATCATCTCATTTCGCCCTCCCGAAAAGAATTCGTCCACAAGCCGAAAATAATACGTAGCGAATGAGTTAAAAATGGCAGAATGAAATATCAGACAGTGAGACAGCAAAATTCTCAAAAGGGCAAATGCCGAGAGTTCTGTTTTCTAAGCTCAAAAGGATTCAACTTCACTGGGCTGGCTATATCGTAAGAATGCCCAATTTCAAAATCCCAGGGAAACAAAAAGTTGGCCCACTGAAAAAGCACTGCAAAGCTACCCTGACAATATCTCTGAAGGACTGAAACACAAATCCTTTGAGTTGGGAGAGCTTAGCTCCTGACAGACCCAGTTGGAGGGCAGCAGTTATAGTATGAGGCTTCACAAATAAGAAATGCTGAAACCAAGAAAAAAGCCTGTAAGCTGTGCACGTTCATAAACGTGAAAGTGGGGCTTTTGAATGCTCAAAATGTGGCAATCTTTCTTCTACCAGAATAGGTCTCATTGGCCACAACAGAAGCCAAAAGTCATCTTCACATTAATTTCTTCTATTTCTCTGGAGGTATATATTTCTCCTCTGCAGAAGCAATTGTCACTTTCAGATATTGACAGACAAACTATTTTTGTTATCATTATCATTATTATTATTCTTTTTACACCTAAAAAAGACAAGCATTGCTGCAGATAAATCGAGGGATACACACAAAAATAAGGGTTTGCACTTTACACGGCATTAGTCATATATATATAACATAAAATCTTGATGAAAATTTCATCCATAGAACTTTTAAAATTTAATAAAGTAGATCTAGAAGGAATAAAATGAATCATAATTTTTTTAAAGCATAAAATAAAGTATTTACCCCCCAGGTCTATGTCTTTTCACATTAAGTCAATTACTGTAAGACAAGCTGCATCCACACCTTGACCTCCATGGTGACCCTGGATCAAGCATTTTAAAAACAGGAGCTTTACTTTATTCTTTAAAATCTAATTAAAATATTATTATTATTATTGAACTTTGAATTTACTGAAGAGTTCTATGAATTCATCATCTTCATTTTCGTTAGCTTCCTGCACCACAGTTTTCCCGTCACTATTGGTGACGCCCATGCTGGCCCCAGCCTTGAGTAGAATAGTGCAGATATCTTCATTGCTGTTGCCGAATGCATGCCATAGGGCTGTCCATCCATCTGAGTCCTGAAGGTCAAGGTCACACTTAGCCTGAAAGATAAATGCCAGAAAAAAATATAATGTGAGGCAGTGCGGTGAAATCAGGCGCTCGTCAATTAACGAATGTGAAGAAAACTGGCTTTTTCTGTAGGTTTGGGATTTTAGCTCAACATCTTCCATGTCAATTAAAGAACACATTTCTGTGTAGATTGTACAGAAAAACGTCAATTAAAGGTATAAAAATTAGAAATGTTCTGTTTCCACGGACTCTCAAGCTCAGGAAAATAACAATTTTTGTGGTCATTTTCTCCCTAATTTGACATCTGAGACCAGGCGACCCCCACAAATTTCAATCACAAATATCTCGATTTGCATGGATATGTTTTTCACCAAAAGCAAGACAAATGAAAAAGCTTTTACGTGATACCAATAGCATATGCCCAAATATTGACGAGCACCTGATTTCACTGCGTCGTGACACAAATGTAAAAGTTAAGTATGACCTTCCACTTCCAACGGCTTGACATAATGCCCAACATCCGGAGTCATCATGAGGGTCACAACTATGACTCAAGTAACAGGAAACAGCTGCCTGTGATCACAATGATGTCAAAAGATATGAGGAGTTATACTTTACTTTTAAGAGATTTATTCATCTTTGTTTCCAGGCATTGAGAATCTTTCATAGCAACGATAACTTCTTTTCTCTCTTTTGTTTTTGTTGATTAAAGCTCTACTCACGGCGCACTGGCAGTGGAATTTTAGTAACAGCAGGAGGTTCCCTGCCTAGCGCCTTATCACTTTGGGGTCACGGGGGTCAGCTCCCTGTCACCGCTCTGTCTGGGCTGACTTAATTTTTGGTACTTTTCAACATACAGTTTTAGGTGTATCCTAGTATTTATGGTAATTATCATTTAATGCACCCAAAGCATGCATTTCTGCACTTGAGACTAAAAAAAAAAAAAGAACGGATATTGTAACTTGTCTGGGTATTTCGTTAGACACGCTGAAGTCGGCAATGTTAAATTGTAACATATTTTTTAACAAGTGTGAATGAAAAAAAAATAGTAATTTTTTAAAACGCACAACAAAAACTGTAGAACTTTTGGAACATAAACGACATAACATTGGGGCAGATATTCAGAAAATATGGTATCAGTGCATATCATAGAAAGCTGTAATTTTGCAACTTTATCCATCGCTGGCACACAATTTGCTATGAAGTAATTACTTCAAATACAACTTTACTTTTCTAATATAACCATGAATATTCACATATTTTCTCTAAATTTTATAAAAATTACCCTGAAGTCTCTCTAAGAAAAAGTACAAATCGATTTTAGTGCCAGAATACAGCTACAATGTAATAGACAAACAGTATCTAAGTCTAGTTTCTTGTAACTTGACCAAATAACACGGACTTCTCGTAACTGGGTTATAAGAATGATTTCTAGCTTTCCAGAGACACTGAATCAGTACCAGACTTTTCCAGCTTTTATCTTCATTTCTATGACCATTTGTAATAACTGACAATGTTCTGATTTCTATACATTCATAAGTGTCCGTGCATAATATCTCCGACACAAAAACTAAGATTGAATGTGTTAGCTGCCATATATATTTTATTCCATACAAGAAGTTCATCTCTTTCCATGTACTTGCACAGTTTTGTGGGTTTTTTAATCGCCTAATATTTCTTTCTTAGTTGTACGCAGGCTGCCACAGACACAGCATGATTCATGAGCAAACGCAGAGTAACTTCCTCTTGCATAATGGTAAAATAACACCTAACGCTGAGAGTCTTTAGAAATGCAGATGTGCATCTTTCTTCTCTTATAACTTGACTATTAGGCCTACTACTAACGCAGATTTAAGATTTCTCATGGTAAAAGACATGATATTCGTAGTCAGTTCAATACAGATTTTGGAGAGATCTGTCGTGCCGTTTTTAAATAAACAATCATTTATTCATAAGTAACTAAAATAGGACAAATTGAGTACTCTACAAACATTGTCTAGAACAAAAACTAAGTCACAGAAATTAACCATTCTAACGCAGAATAAATCTCGAGACATAGTGCATCACTGTAATGGTTTTCTGAGTGGGGTGGGGAAGAAGTTATATTGTTTCTAACAGACAAAAATGCAAACGTCTTAACTGACACCAGGAAAGTAGCTTCAGGGCTCATTAACCCCATGACCCCGAGCCGGGGAGCTCCGGCGGGCTCGATCCTCAGTAATGCTAACTAAAACTACTAAAAGTAACAGAAACGGGCGAAAAGTGACGCCATGTACTAGACACAAACAGGTTATTTAGAAGGCACGGTCTAGGTTTTCCCAGATCAGAACTTGTTGAGCCAACAGACTGGCACAAAGGAGAGGTGCACAGAAGACATGTTTACAGAGAAGAAATATCACTGATGATTATATTAGAGATTGTACCTATCCCCAAATCATTTTGTCTTTTTCTCTTGCTTTTCCTAACATTAAATGATGAGGATCACTGTAAACTGATATGTAAAAATATTTCACCAAAATTAAGGCAAAGCAAAGCTTACCTGTACAAGAATTTTGACAATATCTTCATGGTCCCCAGCCACTGCTGTGATGAGTGGGGTAAATTTGCTGTTCTCTTCATGAACACAGTTGACATTTGCACCTGAAGAAAGTCAACAGATCAATTTAGTCACAGACAACCAATTGCATTTTAAGGAGGAATATTATATTGGTTTACATGTATGTTATACTTTTCAAGACCTTGCTTGTAACAGAACAGGTCCTCGTAAATGACCAGTGAAAATAGTGAGCTAGGAAGAAATATATACCAAGAAAGATGACAGTACATTCACACTCTCTCCCCACATTCAGACTTGAATCTCATACTTCAATTTATTTGCCCAGTTTGTAACCAGTGGCATCAAAGTCCGGGAACCATCACTTATGGTGTAATTGTTAGGTTCTTCAACTTACATCAAAAAGATAGGAATCTTATCTCCATATATAGAAAAAATGTTTTATGGTGTGCTTCTGTCTTTTTTCTGGGATATAGTATCCCACATAACATGGGATTGCTCAGCCTATGTAGGACAGAAGCAGTGTCTTTCTAAGCCATCTAAATTTTCTTGAAAGAGGACTCGTACATATGTGAGGCAGCATGGTGAAATCCGTCGCTCGTCAAAACAGTGAAATCAAAGAAATCGGCTTTTTTCTGGACATGAGGCAGTTTTTTTATTTAATTATCTATTTTAGCATCTGTAATAAGATGATAAGTGCAACGCTATATCTACGTTGTGTTGAATGCTTACAGTTTTGAGCGGGGAACGATGTGTGTGGGTCTTACAGGTCCGGATCTCGATCCACTGCGTAGACCCACCAGTAGCGTTGATCCTTGCTCAGCCTATATTTAAGTCACGGCTCGGAAGGCCGGCTCTAATTTTGCGTCTGTTTATATACCTCCTGAGGGCCTTTATTTTCCTACACTCATTAGGCTACACTGAATTTGTTCACTCATTTCACGTGCTTGTGGCCCACCAGGCAATCGCAGAGATTTAGACAACAGGCTCAACACCTTTTATGTTCTTAAAAAAAAATATTTCTTTGTGTATGTTACCGAAAAACGTTCATTATAGGCACAAAAACAAAAAATGTACATTTCCAGTGACCAAACTTTCATATCAGCTAACCCTAACCTCCTTCAATTGAAAATATCTTGACTTCTGTTCAAGACAAATGGTTTTGGTTTGTTGGGTTTTTTTAATGAAAGACAAGTGAACAAGCTTTAAGATGATAATAATAACTCTATATGCCCCAAAATTGACAAGTGCCTGATTCCACTACGTCGTGACACATATCATGATCAATCAATTAAAGCCCATGGTATTGATTAATTAAATTTAAAAAAGACTCCCCCCCTCTAAATGATAATCATCATGTTCATGTGCTTCTCTTATACTCAAACAAACAAGTTACTGACTTTGACAAACCTAAAGAAAAATGATTTATTGCCATTGCTTAAACTAATTGATCAAGGCAAGCAAAAATGTTATTAACGCTTATGCTACGCACATGTAAGAATATATAACAAAGTTCAAGAAACAACTGTGTCGAATAACTTGTTTGCAAAGTGCTCTTCAACTTATTTCTGAACATACTGTACCTGACTGAATCAAAGCTTTGGCAATTGCTGTCTCTCCCTCTTGACATGCAATGTACAGTGCAGATTCCTTCCTTTTATTGACACCATCTGGATTGACACTACCTGTATTGAAATATAAGCAAGTGCAAAGGTCACTGACTTTGCAGGCGACAGGAGCCTGCTACTAAAAGAACTTGCTTCTTTAATCATCCCCTTTTTGTTTGTCTGTCTGTGTAATTCCCCCCCCCCCTAAATAATAATCATCATGTTCATGTGCTTCTCTTACACTAAAACAAACAAGTTACTGACTTTGACAAACCTGAAGAAAAATTATTTATTTCTATTGTTTAAACTGATTGATCAAAGTAAAACCAAAAGAGGGGCCAGGAGATAAATATAGTCCCCTTTCTGTCCAAAAGTGCACAACTTAGCAACTGATGGGGTACCATAATACACCACAACTGGTGGATCTATGGTGTAAATGTGATACATTTCATTTGCATCAGTTTTGTTTAAAGTCCAGCTCTTTATCACACTTATCTGTCAATTGAGGTTCCAGTCAAACTCTTCAAACCCCACAGTATGGGGAACCATCTTTAAAAGGATATTTAAAAATGTATTAAACTAAAAAACTGTCCCCATCGTTTTACGCAAGAAAAATTCTGAAATTATGCAAACTGAGCCCAAAAATGTGAAATGATGCGATATTCTGTTAATTCTAACGAAGAATGATAAAGGAAAATAATCAGAAATTATGCACAATGATCAAATTTTGCTAAATTCGTCCCTCTAAACACGTACTAACGTAAGCCACATCTGACCCGAAATCGAGTTATACCAATCACGCGATTCTCTTTATCCGATACTACATCCTCTCAAAAGATGGTAGGAATCGAGCAATAAATAGCTGAGATATAGTCGATTCCAGTTTGAACGTATCCCACTTGCCCACAAAAAGATACAGCACGTACTAACACACTGTTGGTTACGCTAGTGCGTGACGTACACTTTAACCAATTGTTGTGTTTTTATTATACGGCACATACTAACGTAAGCCACACAGCCAGGGCTGAGCCTTTGGCAAAAAAACATCACGCAGCACTTCTAGAGAGCGGGAAGACAAGCTAAACTACACACGTGAGCAGTGTGCTTCGTGTGAGGCAGTGAATGCTCAGACTCCAATTCTAGAAGTCCCTTTTTACTCGTCCTTTGTTTACAAATGGGATCCCGCTCTGAAAAACCACTCTTTCTTTGACATGTAGCCCTACTGTTCAAACTCTGATTGACATTCAGAACCCTGGTGAAGTCTTAAGCTTACAGACTGCAGAAAGTCATGGGTGTCCTTCCGCCACTGAGAACTTTAAGGGACAAATAGATGCACATATGTGCTTCAAGGACACTGATATGCTTAGTGAGGTAGACAGTGATGAAATGTCAGTGTGGCTACGACTCAGATGGCGATCCGGAATTCAATCCTGGAACATGCGAGGTCAAAAGGTGCAATGCTGAAGTATGGGCGGCTTGTCCTGATTGTGAAAGAGATTGCATCGTGAGTTCAACATAAAAAAAGCACGAGAAGGTCAAAGGAAAAAATCAACAACATGTAAAAGCTGTAGGTAGGCCCTCAAAGTTTAAGATTCCCGCTGGTGTGAATATGAACACTGATGCTCCCTATCAGTTTCAGACAAAGGAAACAGTCATTGATGAGGGGGGAGGAAGAATGCAAAGATCAGTTCCCGAGCAGTACACAGTGGGGGGGGGGGGGGGGGAGTGAGAAAGAAGTCAGAAAGGAAAAGAAACTCAGATCAAACAAACAGAAGGAAGCCAAAATGAAGAGGAATTTGGGACAAGAGTTGACAAGCATGTACCACATGTTCATCCAGGAATGGATACCAAGGACAAGGCCATCAAGCTTCACTACATAAAACGATGTATTCAAAAGTACAAATCTGTCAATCCACCGGTCCAAGAAAGACCAGTGCTCTCTTTGTGATTAATCACCAAGGAAATGAAGAAACAAAGATACGTCTTAGGGGAAAGTTTGAGATCCATGTGGGAGAAAAAGAAAAGGTCAGGGAAATAAAGGATCTATGCAAGAAAGAAGCTCAGGAAAGTGAGAACATTCTCTGTGCAAGTTTTGATTTGCAGCAGGTCATTTACCTCCCTATGACTCAGGAGAGCGCCATCTTTTACAAAAGGAGATTGTCGAACTACAACCCGACTTTCTATAATATTGCTAAAAGAAATTGTCACTGCTTCCCTTACGATGAAACGCAAAGCAAACGTGAACCCTAGGAAATTTCAACTACAGTCCACCTTGCCCTGACATTTTATGACGACCGTGGCATCAAAAAAGCTTTTCTTTTTGCCGATGGATGCAGTGGTCAAAACAAAAATTCGATTACGCCTTCGATGATTTTGTATACAGTGAACAATAGTGTGAATCTTGAAGAAATTTCATTGAAATTCTTTGAAACAAACCATGGTCAGAATGAGGGTAATTCTGTACACAGTGCAATAGGACATGCCCTGAAGAGGGCTGGGGATTTGTTCCTTCCTTCTCAGGTAGCAACAGTGAAGTCTCTCGCTCGACCTCAAAAGCCTCACCTGGTGAATCAGATGCAGTCTAAAGACTTTCGGGATCTCAAAGGCTTATCAAAGGACTTGAGAATCCTGGACGCATGAAGAGGATCTGATACGGAAGACACATTTTCGTGGAACAATATCATGGAACTGCGAGTCACTAAAGAACAGCCAGATAAAGTCTTCTACAAGACAAGCCACTTTGACAGTTCATTCAAAACCCTGTCCCTCAAGAGACTGAAGAATAGTGTAAAGGACTGTGCACTTCAGAAACTGAACTCAGGACCAACAAACATTTCGAGAGAAAAATTCACTGATTTGGTTTCACTCTGTTCTGGCCCCACACCAGTAATTAAACTGGAAGAGCACAAAGCTTTTTATCTTTTCTTACCCCATGAGTTATAGTTGGCTGTGAAGATCTCCTTTGGGGCGAAGCTATTTTACTTTGTTCGCTAAGGTGTAACTCCAGCTTAAGTATATAGCAGTCAAGTTATGACACAAAATGTATTTAATTTCACATTTTCTGCTCTATTTCTGAGTTACTGCTTATTAGTCTTATAAATATGTCATTGAATTTACATCTCTACAGCAAGATCATGTTCCCAATAAGCCTAAGTGGAGCTCTAACTCTAGTAGAAATGTTCCCTGAATTCTTTATTATTTGTTTTTGCAAATTTGAAAATTTAGTGAGCACATACTAGCTCAAGTTTTTTGTAGCTTGTTTTGTTTTTAGTAAAGTACTGCTACCCATATTAAACAGGAAAGTGTTTCACAAAAGAATAGTCCATATTGAAACGTTTGTTTAAGCAGTAGATAGTTGCAGTGATTATTTAATTTTAAGTTGTTTTTTTTATCATGTACAGTTGGCGTCTGTATATTTCGAGCTGTTGTTAACATTGTCATTTGTTGCGGATAATGCAACCCGTGAATTTTAAACCAAATCGATCTTTCTTTGTATTTTTATTGTTATTTGGAAGTTACCATTTAGGCGTAAGCCACGCAATGAACGCATTATGCTTTAGAATACAAAAGCACGTACTAACGTATCCAACAATCTAGTAACGTAAGCCACACATTGAGGCTTTCATTGACGTAGCACGTACTAGCGTATCGGACAAAAAGGTCATTTTTCCTTCAAAACCTACTAATCTCACAAAGATGCTTCTAGCCAATTGAAAAGTAGTTGGCCGACATACGTTATGTCAAAATATTAAGGGCAGGGTCGGCTATTTGACGCCACAATGGGATGGTGAAAATCGCCCAAATCTTTAAACGTCTCTCCTGCAAAACTAACAAAATGTGGCTTACGCTAGTACGTGTTTTGGGGGACGAATTATGCCGGGTGCATAAAACCACGGGGACAGAAAAGAATAAACAATAATTTCTATTTTTTTTAAACAAAAAAATAAAAAAAATAATCACATATCTGAGAAATAAAAATTTCATTCTAATGTTGTCCAGTACTAGATTGTGGGCTTGTGTGGCTTGAGGAGTTTCCATGTCTCTCTCAACCCATTTGGCTCTGACCTAAAGAGATGGAGGTTAAATCAAATACCCAATATTTCTTAAATATTACTTCTATCTTCATCCTCCAAGGAAAACCCCAGCTTTCAAGGTTGAAAAAGACTTTTGCATCTATTCTTCACCAAATCAAAAACAGAATGACACAATCTTAATGAACAGACTCACAGTTAGTGGCAAACCACACGAACCAAGTCTATTTGTGTCATGATGTGGTGGAATCAGGCGCTCGTCAATTTTGGCCATATGGAGTTATTGGTGCTATCTTAAAGCTTGTTCATTTGTCTGTCTTTAGATGAAAAAAATTCCCGTCTATCCTAAATAGAAGTCGAGATATTTTGGATTGAAGGAGGTAAGGGTTGCTTGGTTTCAGAGACAAAATTAATGAGAAAATGGTCACCAAAGTTTAGTGACTTCGAAAACTTGAGTGTCCTTGGAAAGTGCAAATTTAAATTTTCTGAGTCTTTGATGAACGTTTTTCAGTAAAATCCACAAAAAAATGTGTTCCTCCCTCTCTGTCAATTATACTCCCAAGATAGCAGAAGGATTCGATGTCTTCAAGTGCATTTCCTTCTATTGTGACCTACTCCTTTTGTAGTACATCTATCCTTAGGACTTTTGACTTTCCGGCATGGATCCTCAATCCAACAGATTTTGATAGGCTGTTTAAAATTGTGGTCTTTGCTTGCATCTGTTCCTGGGTGTGTGACCGAAGTGCCAAGTCATCTGCAAAGTCCTAATCATCCAACTGTTTCTATGGGGTTCACTGTATGCTGTTTCTGTATCCTCTGCCATGGTGGTTTCCTTCATCAGCCAGTCAATTGCCAAGATAAAGAAGAAAGGTGATAGTAAATATAATCCCTGTCACACTGGTCTTGATGTCAAAGCTGTCCATGAGCTGGCCATCCAAATTTTTTTAATCTCAATTTAATGCATGTTTTCAACTCAGTGTTGGCATATGTGAGGCAAGCTGACAAAATGAGTTACTGCTCAAATTCTAGCCCTCTATGGATATAGGTACGTCAAATTTATTGGTTGAGTTTGTGCAATTTATTTGCATGAAATGAAAAAAGAAAAGGTTAACTTGAAGAAAATGGTATTCATTTAAAATCTAAGAGTTTGACCACTGTGTCAATTTTTGTCCCATGTCTCCATTCGTGGACTACAAGGAGGAACTCATTTGTCAGAATGCTTCACATATCCTGTTGTCCCACAAAGAAGCTGCTCAGTCATCAGTATTCTTCATGGTTACTGACACATAAAAACTCATCACTCTGGAAAACTTACTCTCAAAGGCTCACCTACCGGGGTGAAGTGCCTATACATGTATTCGTTAGGCCAAGGACCATGTTAAACTAAAAGCTAATTAGCATTAAGTAAAAGACGGGTCACTCCTCTATTTGAGACATCAAAAATCTCCTCCCACTGCCAGTGGTGACATTTATACAATATGCAGTATAGTATATACATGTTTTTGTAGTCTCCGCCTAAGATCTCGGTGCTCGAGAGCATGGAAAATGCGGGATCTTAGCCGACAGACCAAGGGAAGAATCTACGGTGACCCATGTTAAGGCCCAGAAACGGTAAAATGGTCTCCCTCCACTCCAAATGATCTGGCGTACCACCTGGGTGGGTTTATGACATATTCTGGCGAGCAAAGAGTGGTCAACCTCTATGACCAATCACAGTGGCATGAGGCATGCCATTTACATTTATTATCCTATCGTGAGCCTTGAGTTCTATGCTTATCCAGTTGCTCCTCCGATTCCCTTATCTTTCCTAAATTCATAGCTTTCCATCTCTGACCAAGTTCCCCCGTCTTTGTTGTTACGCACCATTATGTTGCTACCACACCAATTAAAATTTAGTCTGTCTCGCAAATTTACTGCTGCAATGGTCAGGGAAGAGTTCACAGTTCAATGTGATCCTACCTGGAGCAAACGTGAAGGCCCTACCCACCCAGCGAGTGATGTTAGTTTAGGTGGAGGGCAAACATTGTTCCGTTTCACAAAGTTTTACAACACTTATGTGATCACATTCATGAGAGTGGCTGATCTTTGACGCGACGGTCACTTCAATAATTTCTTTCAACTTTTCACTCTTGGTTGATCAGCTGTGTCCTCCTGCGTTTTTGTTCTGTAAATTACGATCTGAAATGCGGGATCTTAGCCGAATGTAGACTTTCAGAGTGAATCAGAGCAGGACCTTCGGGGTGACTTTTGTATAGTAAAAGTCCTGTTATCATAAAACAGCTGGATCCTAGGCAAACCAGGATCGTAAGCGATGGGACCTTAGGTGGAGACTTCTGTATACATATAGTATTGTGAAGTTGTTGGGCCTGACTTTCAATTCTGCTGAATTCGAGTATTCGTTGTATATATTATACCAATATGAGCTGCATTGCAGGGTAGGGTCTAGCATACAGCAACATTTCTTTCCACAGACCAGTACGTAATTGATTATTTAGATCTATGTCTAGAAGGCTAACTTATTATTGTTCAGTAGACGGAAAAAAATGTAAAGGTGACGTATCTGTGATCTCCACTGACGTTCCATGCCCACAACATTTTTGTCGTAAGCTGAAAAAACTCCTTTTTTCATTTTTGGCGAAAATTTCTTTTATTTGCTAAATTGAAAGCCTGCGATCAGTTACCCTACATGTGTGGAAAAAATCAAAATGAAACTGTGACTAGTTTTTCAGTGAATTAGAATTCAAATTTCAGAAGAATGCCTTGCTCATCTACGTATTTGTTGAATCCGAGCTGTTCTGTCGATCTTAGTGAATTAAAAAATTGAGAGGTTTTGTTGTTGTTTTTTTGGTTAAGCGTTTTACGGCACTCACAACTGCATAAGGTCAAATGAGCGCGCGGGACACACTTAACATTTTTAGTTGGTAGGAGATTTTGGATTTTGCCCTGGTGGCGGCCGAAGCCTACTCTTATCGATTTTGGACTACCAAGGGATCTTTAACATGCGCAACTTGCACATGGGACCTTCAAAATTGTTCGACCTTGTCCGAGAAGGCTAGGGTAGATCTTTCCTTCCATAAGATCAGGGGTGTGGCTGAAAGACAGCAGTCAGAAGGAGTCAAGGAGTAGCAGTTGAAAGGCTGCAGAAAGAGTCAAAAACCAAAAGGAGGGGGTAAAGTATGTGAGAGGATGGGGGCAGAAAGTGGGAGACAAAAGCAGATGACAGAATATTGCTAGAGAGAAGGAAAGGAGGTGAAAGAAGACAATTTTAAAGAAGAAAAATTTCCGCACTATCTGGATTTGAACCCAGGACCTATTGAATGAGAGGCGAACACCTTAACCTAGGCTCTGGGCCACGAGAGCCCCCCCTGTTTTTGCTTTTTTTGTTTAGTGAAATTCAAGTTTTTGTTGAATCCGAGTTTGTTGTGTCCAAGCATCACGGTATCATTTCATGTAGGATGCTATTTACTATCTCTATGGAGTGGTGCACCATGTATACAATAAGTAAGAACTATAAGACTGTTCTAGAAAAGTCTTTATCTGAGAAAGGAAACAAAGCATTTGCATCAACCCCCGCGGTAACGTCTAAATTATAGTTATACATGTACATTGCACAAGATGTTTTTGTTCAGGAGTGATAGATAAATCAATATCTTAATACAAAACCTTTAAGTCAGCGCTTGCAAGGGAGACGTCAATTCATTTACCTTTAAGAAAGACATTGACCAGATCAAAAGATCCAAGCTCCACAGCAAAACAGAGAGCAGAGTCTCCAGTTGACAAGACCTGATTCCCGTCCACACCTTCGTCAAGCAACGCTGCAACAACCTAGACCACAAAGCGGATAAAAAACAAAACAAATGTGCTGTTAATTTACAGTCAAACCTCATTGTACCGACCCCCATTATACCATCAGCCCCCCTTACCACCAAGTTTTGCCATAGTACAAAAAGCACCATAAAACAGGGCTGAAGCATTACAGCATTGTACACTTTCAACTTTGTCTTGGTGTGAATGCCACATACACTTTACTTTACTTTTACTTTTATCCGCCGCTTATACCCTTTTGGGTGTCGCGGGAAGAAAGAGACGTCTCTCTGTCGCCAGCTAGAGAGCTCTGGTCAGGGGGATGCCGTGGGTGGTTAATGTTTCCCTGACACCGTCTATCCAGGTCTTTCTCAGTCGCCCTCTAGCCTTTTTGCCCTTGAATTTTTTTTATGTAGGCACGTTGTGCTGGGCATGGGTGGTGCGTTGGTAATTGCACGAGATGTCCGAACCATTTGATTCTTTGGTGTTGGATGTGATGCATGACATCATTTGTGCCCACCATTTCTCTGATTTCTGATTTCTAATTTTGTCTCGCCTGGTCTTGTATACTGCTTTTCTAAGGCATCGCATTTTACATGTTGTAATTCTTTGCTTTAGTGTCTTGTTCATGGTCCATGTTTGGCATTGGTAGGTGATTGTTGGGATGAATATGGTGTTGATCATTTTGAGTTTTATTTTCATGGGGATGTTAGGATGTTTCAGTAGTGGAGTAAGCTGGTAACTAACATTATTGGCCTTTTGTACTCATGTTTCAATGTCTCTGTTCAGTCGCCCATTCTCTGTGAATATACTTCCGAGGTATTTAAATTCTTGGACCTGTCTGAGACTGTTGTTGTTGATGTGTATCCTGAGTGGTCCTGGCTTTCTGCTTACTTTCATTATCTCTGTTCTGTTGATGTTGATCTTCATGTCATAGTTATTACATTCTTTGTTTAATCTGGTGGTGTGGTGTTGGAGACTTCGTTCATTTTTGTGTGCCAGGCTTTGGTCATCAGCGAACTGTAATTCATTTAGGGCGTCTGGTTCTGTTTTGGCCTCTTTAGTAATTCTATCCATATATATGATAAATAATAGTGGTGATAGGACACAACCTTGTCTTACTCCGGATGTTATCTCGAACCATTATGTGAGCCCCTCCAACGTTCTTACTGTACTTATGCTGTTCTCGTAAATGGCATGGATGTTATCTAGAAGTTAAGATAAGATAAGATAAGATAGTACTTTATTATCCCAGAGAGAAATTTTCCTTAGCTGTACAGGACCGTAAAACACATGCAGGTATACATAAAGAATTTTAATTATATATTACTCTCATTAAAATTCAATATGAAAAGAGAAGTAAAGCTGACAAAATGTACATTTACATCAAATGCATCATTCAACCACATGCAGGAATTTAAATACAAGACCTTTGGAGTTATAAGAACAACACACATCTATGCTCATTTGGACAAAAGCCTTATGCTAGATGGTAAAAGACTTCTTTTATATCTTTCTTTCTTTGTTTTTGGAGGTACATATCTGTCGCTGCGTGATCTTACAATTTGTGAGGAAAAGGGATGTGATGGGTCGTTCATAATGCTTTTTATCTTTTTTATATGTGTGGTGTTATACATTTCATCCAATCTATTAAAATCATATCCAGATATCTTGCTGGCTTTCTTAATGGCTGTCCCAGCAGTGTGAAAGTTGAGGCTGCCACAAACCTTCGTGCACCCACTCTTGGTCTCTTACAGTGTAGTTTTCGAGTTCTTTCCATAGCTTGTTTCTGTTCACTCTTTCGAACACTTTCTCCTGGTCGACAAATACTATGTTTAGTCCCCGCTGTTGTGTTCTATTACCCTTTCGCACATACACAGCAGTCCCAAATCCTTGCTCTGAGTCTTCCACAGGATGTACTAGCTGTATTCATATAAGCTATTTCAGCATCAATGTGGGCATTTGAAGACAGTGTATACTGCCAAGATATTTGAAATTCATACTTAGCAAAGATCATACATAGCCTAAAATTCATATTCAGCAAAATTCGTACATAACGAAAAGATTACCATGTCCTGCCAATTTCGCTGTGTGTGCTAGACTAATATAAAATTACCTCATTATCTTGTAAAGAGTCTATTGGCACAGTTCTAAAAATCAGGTAGGAAAGATTAGCCAGTTTTCAGAGAAGCACACAAAATTGAGTAATCGATGAGTAATCGATAGGCCTACTGTAGAATTAAGTTCAACAAAAAAGTTTCATGTACGTAAAGGACATGAGCGCACCTTCCACAGGTTGTTTTTCACAGCTGCTTCAAATGGAGTATTGTTGTGTTTGTCATGGAAGAGGAAATCACAGCCTTTTTCAATCAGATATACTGCCATATTCTCTAAATCTGCAACAAAAGATTTTTAAAACAGACATTTATAACAAAGTCACAATAATATGGCTAAATGGAAATAATAATCTGTTTGTTTCTTTCCTGGCAAATTTATAAAATGACTGTCAGTTATCATGCTGGGCTGGTGAGGATAACCCAGTGGGGTATTTCATAACTTAGGTCGTTTTGGAAATTTTCAGGGCTTCCTATCTCTGTCCTTTGGGAGATGAACATCAAATCAGGAGCTTTATTGTAACTTGCATAACATTACAGTATTGAGAGGGGCATCAAATCTTTACCAAACTATATAGGCTACCCATCTAATCCAATTTTCACATCAGTGATGGTAATCATAAAGATTTGCTCATTGAAAATTGAGAGAACTTTACATTTCTCCATTGAGATTTTTCTCAGGTACAAGATCTGTTTTAAGTTGGAAAATTTAAAAAATTGAAGGTAGAGTTTTTTTGACAGCTGCTCCCTCGGTCTGGAATTCCCTCCCACAGCGTATGAGAAATGTCTACTTTGACTACATTTAAAACTGGTCTAAAGACATTATATCTATCTACATCTTATTCTTAGTCTTAGTTAGTTTGATTCTTTTTCCAACAAGGATGATCAGCAGCCACTGTAATTGTCTTTTTGTGTGTGGGTTTTGTCAGACCTTGGTATATTATGGGGGCATGAGAGTTTGAAAGGATTGTTGTACAATGAGGGACTGCTATCATGTATGAAACATTGAGTCATTTTGTAACTTGTCAATTTTTTTTTTATGTAAAAAGCCCCTAGATACATCAGGGATTGGGTGCCAAGTGATCTCTATTATTATCATTATCATTATTATTATATCATTTCATTATCATTATCATCATCATCATCATCATCATCATCATCATCATCATCATCATCATCATCATCATCGTCATCGTCATCCTCATAGTCATCATCATCATTATCAATCATCATTATTTTCATCATCATCATTACTATCATTATTACATATGTATCAATACTATTACTATTTCTATTATCATTTATATTATTATCAATAATTTCTATTATCATTATCATTATTATTATTATTACTTTCATCATCATAGTTATCAACTCGATTATTATTATCATTATTATTATTGTTAATCTAATACTGAACATTGAATGGAGGGCAAGACATGTGTTTTGAGTAATTTTAAAATCATTTTCTTCTCTTTTTCCATATCAAAGTGAAAGACACAATTCATACAGTTTCCTCGAAATAACCCGGACAACTTAAATTAAAAATTTATAATCATTCGTAGAATTCCTTAACATTGGGAAGCTTCAATGACCACACTGTAGGCCTACTGTATTTTACTATTTAAAATGCGGAATCAAGCGGTCATCAATTTTTGGGCATTTTAAGCTATTGATATCACCTTAAAGTGAGCTCTTTTTTATCTTGCTATGCATGAAAAAAGTTGTCATCTATCAAGAACAAAAGCTGTGGTATTTGCGACTGAAGGAGGCATAGGTCACCTCATGCCTGATGTAAAATTAGTGAGAAAATGGCTGCCAGGATTTTGTTATCTCAATAGCCATGTCCCTGGAAACTGCAAGTTTACATTTTTTGTATCTTTATTTAATCAATGTTTTTCAGTAAAATCTACACAGAAATATGTGAGGCAGCGTGGTGGAATCAGGCTCTCGTCAAAATATTCAAAGTGAAGAAACTTGCATTTTACCGCAGGTTTGAGAATTTTTATCAAATTTTTGTTTTTTGGCTCAACACCTTTCATGCCCATTAACTTTTTATTAAAAACGTTGATTAAAGGCACAAAAATGTAAATTTTCAGTTACCACGGACTCTTAAGCTAAGGAAATAACTAATCTTTGGCGGCCATTTTCTCTCTAATTTTACCTCTGAAAACAGGTAACCCCCACCTCCTTCATTCACAAATATCTCGACTTGTATTCAAGATAAATACATACTTTTTTTATCCAAATAAAGACAGTGAACAAGCTTTTAGATGATACCAATAACTCTGTAAGCCCAAATATTGACGAGAGCCTGATTCCACCGCGCTGCCTCACATATGTTTTTGACTACACATTATGAATGGTATATTGTGATCAAAACATTTTTTAAACTGATAGAAATTGCCTTACAGGTGGAAAATGTCGGTTTTTAGATTTAATAATTTTGATGAGCGCCTGATTTCCCTATGATGACACTCATATATTATGTAATACTCTCTGCAAGAATTGGGTACCGTATGTGTTGGTAAACGTACTTTTGAGCTAGAAGACAAAATATAAGATTGGGTAATCTTGAGTCTAGTTTGAGTTATTTAAACCAAGGCCAAACATCCTACATAGGGCCTATTCCAAAGTCATTTACTGAAGACTCTATAGATATTTTACTTAATTTTATTTCTGCATTATGCCCTTTTTTTTTTTTCAATTTCAAAAGTTTTAACATTCCATAACTTACACTTTATTTCACTTCTTCTTTTAGACTTTACGAAGAGGATGTATTCTATTTGTGAATGTTGTTGTGCTGTCTAATAACCTCTCTAAAACTCCATGTGCTGGTAAGAGCCAAGGCAATGCATTTCTAAGATGTAAAAAAATATGCATGTTGAAACTTTGAACCCGCTTTTCTTAATTTGCGCTTTCTTCCAATTTTAGACTTCACTAAAATAACTTTCACTATAACTTCCGTTTTAGAACAGATCTTTGATATTTTTAAAGTGCAGAATACTCAGGACTGCAACAAGATGGTAGCAAAAAGTCACAACGTCTAGACGCCGACACATGCCACAAGTCTAGACGCCGACACATGCCACAATTCTTGCAGTCTCACATACAAATATTCAATACAGTGCTGCTTCAGACAACTTTATTAGTAAAGGTAAGGTCCATCTCTTCTGTTAAAGGACTATTAAAAAGTAACACTTGCCTTCCATCTAAGGATGACAGAGCATGATTTCTGATTCAACAAGCACAACAATGTGAAGTCAAATAACAAAAAATGAACTCACGATTTTCAATAGCAAGCTGGAAGGGAGTCCATCCATAGAACAAACAATTGATTGATACCCCAGAGGCTAGGAGCGTCTCCACTTTTTCTTGGTCATTTGCTCGCACAGTGATGTGCAACTCTTGCTCTTGTGTTGACATTGTTTCTCTTCAATAAATCTGTAAAAACATTAAAATTAATACCATTTCACTTCATTTGTATAAAAGATTAAATTTTTCATCCATTCGTACTTTTAAAACAAACCTAGATCTAAGTGCAAACATGTGGAAGTGGGAGCACGAAGGTTTGTGGCAGCCTCAACTTTCACACTGCTAGGACAGCCATCAAGAACATTTCAGAAACAGCAGAAAAGAGTTCAAGCTGGCTCTAGACGAGACGGAATGACAGCTGGGCCAAATAGAACAGACAGAAGACAAGAAAGTAGAGTAGATTTTTATATAGTTTCACATTTGCTATTTTCCACTGGTGGCTCCACTACTGCACAAAAACACACAGACTGAAGACCCAGAAATAGCCCAAAACCTTGAAGGTTCGCCCATGATCAGCGCAATAAAACAGAAAACAAACAAACAGAAACCGCAGGAGAGCACTCAGGAGTCATGACCTGAATGTGACCCCGCCCCCCTAGAGTGTCAGGAAATTTAGGGGCGAAACACTTGCTTAAAGAGGGGGGGGGGGTTCTTCCTCTAAAGATCTCCTGCTGACTGCTCGCCCCGAGTAATGATATGGGACATAATCCATAATCCACCACAGTTGCTTGTCCATTATATTATCAGTTGTTTCCCTTTCATTGTAAACACTCCATGAGCAGTTCTCACATTGTCTTGAGATTCAAGGCTTCTGGGAACAAAGGGTCTGGGGTGTATATAAGGCTGTCTCTGTGTCTGTAAGTTTTTTTGGGGCCATTTGACTGGTGAAGGGAACCTTGATACATGGTGTCATAAGTGAGTGAGTGAGACAGAAGAACCACACAAGAGTAGGATATAATGTAGAGAAACCTCACGGTAAGAAACATGACTTTTAAACCAGCAGCTAATTTTAACTTTCATGAACCGATAGCATGGGCTTCGTGGAGACAAACTTTTCTCAGATTTAGGACTGCGTCCGAGTTGACGAAGAAAAGTGAAGTAGTCCAAGTTAGTAGCCTCATATATGCAATGGGCCCTGAGGCAGAAAAGATTCTGTCTACCTTTGGTCTCTCACAGGATGACAGCAATGTTTTCAACACAGTTCTGACAATGTTTGATGGGTATTTCAGCCCAAAACGAAATGTAATTCATGAGAGAGCTCAGTTCCACAAACGTTGTAAGAAAGAAACAGAGACCATAGAAGAATACGTCAGAAGTTTATACGAACTCTCTGAGCATACAGCTTTCCCAGATAAGGACAATATGATTAGGGATCGGCTAGTCCTGGGTATTACTGACAAAGAATTGTCGGAGAAACTTCAGTTAGAGCCTTATTTAACCCTTGAGAAAGCTATCACTATGGCAAGACAAACAGAAAGAGTAAAGGCCCAAATCAAAGAGCAAAGATTGCCAAATGTCGATGCCGTTCAATCCTTTGGATCGAGAACCCTCAAACATGGGAGTGTGCATGGGGGACCACGCAGAGGATCCGCTCTGCGGGGACGCGGAGGAAGCAGTGACCAGCAAGACGTGCGCAATTGCCAGTACTGCGGGGGATCCCACGGCAGACGACAATGTCCGGCATATGGGAAAACATGTAGAGAATGCTCCAAGAAGAATCACTTTGCCAAAATGTGCCACACAAGAAAGAAAATCAACGAAGTAAAAGTGGAAGATGAAGAAGAGGAAGAAGCATACCTACTGTCAATAGAAACTAAAAGTAATGGAAAACAAAGGTAGCTGTCGGCACACACAAAATGCAATTTAAGATTGACACGGGTGCAGACGTCTCAATCATGACGGCAGAGACTTCGCTGAGTTAGAGCCGAGACCTGTTCTACAGAAGACCAAAATAATACTCAGAAGCCCGGGCGGTGTTTTGAAATGCCCCGGCAAAGCAACCGTGAACTTTACAGTCAAAGGAAAACAATACGCAGTGACAGTTTATGTGACACCAGCACCAGAAAATCTTCTGAGCCGAGAGGCTGCCGCGAGGATGGGACTAGTAGTACGGGTAGATTCGCTGTTTGGAGGCTTAGATAAAAATGCTATCAAAACTAAACCAGTGAAAATCGAGTTGAAGGAAGCTGCTCAGCCGTACAGTGTTCATACAGCCCGTAGAATCCCAATTCCCCTCAGAAGCAAGGTCAAAGAAGAACTAAGGAAAATGGAGCAGGCTGGGATCATAGAGAAAATCGACGAACCAACAGACTGGTGCTCACCGATCGTGCCGGTGATCAAACCATCAGGGGGAGTAAGAATATGCAATAACTACAAAAAGCTGAACGCAGCCGTCAAACGTGAGAAGTACATGCTCCCTGTCGTTGAAGAGGTCTTGCACAAACTAAAGGGTTCGACAATCTTCAGCAAACTAGATGCTACAAGCGGCTATTTCCAAGTTCCACTTAATGAGAAGTATGCAAAACTGACTACATTTATTACCCCTGAAGGAAGGTTCTTCTACAAACGCTTGCCGCAAGGGATCTGCTCGGCGAGCGAGATTTTTCAGAGGATGATAGAACAGATTCTCGGTGATCAGGAGGGGGCAATTTGTTTCCAAGATGACATTCTTGTTCACAGCAGAAACACAGAGGAGCACAAGAGACACTTAAAAGAAACATTTTCGAAGCTTGAGAATGCCGGGGTGAAACTGAACCAAGAAAAATGCGAGCTGAGAAAGGATGAGATTAAATTCTTGGGGTTCATCGTCAGCAAGGACGGGATCAGACCGGATGACGGCAAGACGTCAGCAATCATCGAAATGCCAGACCCCACAAACCTGACTGAGCTGCGCAGAATGCTGGGTTTGGTACAATTCGTCGGGCGTCACCTTCCAAATCTCTCCACTGTTGCCCGGCCCTTGACAGAGCTACTCGAGAAGGAAAGAGCGTGGACATGGGGTCCATCTCAAATCGAAGCAGTGAAAAAGGTCAAGGAACTGTTAACAGAAGCACCGACGCTGGCATACTTTGACCCAGAACTGCCAACGACAGTGAGTGCTGATGCCAGTAGCTATGGCCTGGGAGCTGTGCCGCTGCAAAAACACGAAGAGGGTGATCGTCCAGTCGCTTTCTCATCCAGAATACTGTCAAAGCCAGAAAAGCAATATGCACAAATAGAAAAGGAGTGCTTAGCATCCACATGGGCGTGCGAGAAATTTGGGAAATATCTCATCGGACTGCCAGCAGTAGAGATTGTGACAGATCACAAACCCCTAGTACCTTAGATCAATACGAAGGATTTATCAGACACACCTCTTCGGTGCCAGAAACTGTTACTTAGATTGCTAAGATTTAACGCAACTGCCAGATACGTTGAGGGCAAGAAGATGCTAGTGGCTGATGCTCTCAGCAGAGCACCACTAGCAGACGAAGACAGAGCGTCACATCGAGACGTGCACACACACGTAAGAGAGGTAGAAGCGTCGTGGCCAGTCAGAGACACAACACTTGAAAAGCTCAAACAGGCAACGAAAGAAGACGTCGAACTGAACTGTGCCATGAGCTACACACTGAATGGATGGCCTGCATACAAAGAAAACGTTCAACTAGCTGCCAGAAACTTGTACGATATCAGAAGCGAGCTGAGTGTGCAAGATGGGCTACTGTTGAGAGGGAAAAGAATAGTCGTCCCATTAGAGATGAGAAAAGAGGTTCTTCAGAAGATTCACCATGGTCATATGGGAATAGCTAAATGCCGAGAGAGGGCAGCGCAGTCAGTGTGGTACCCACAGATTGGGAAAGACATAAAGGAAAGAGTGGCAAATTGTCGACAGTGCTTGGAAGAGAGAGCATCCCACCCCAAAGAGCCTCTGCTTCCAACGCCACTTCCCAATAGGCCATTTGAGAAGGTAGCACTTGACCTGTTTGAACTGAAAGGTCGGTCGTTCGTTGTGGTCATCGACTACTATTCATGTTATCCAGACATTGGGTACTTGCCCAACCAGAAAGCCTCAACTTTGGTCACAAAACTGAAAATCATCTTTGCGAGACATGGCATCCCAGAGACAGTAGTCAGTGACAGTCAGACCAATCTTACGTCACACGAATTTCAACGATTTGCCCAAGACTGGGGTTTCCAGCATATTACCAGTTCCCCACACTTTCCATCTGGGAACGGAGCGGCAGAGTGCAGAGTCAAACTGTCCAAGCGCCTGTTAAGGCAAGAAGACTACGCTCTGGCATTGTTGATGCACAGAGCTACACCAATACCAGGACTGGGGGCTAGCCCGGCAGAGCTAGCGATGGGGAGGAAAATGAAGACGACACTCCCAACACTTCCCACAGTCTTACAGCCTCGCACAGTCAACACGCATCTGCTGCGCGAAAAGGACAGAGTCTACAAGTAGAAACAAAAATCCTACCATGACAGACACTTCGGAGCTCGGGCCTTGTCTGAGCTTAGACCAGGTGATCCGGTTTTCATCAAACTGGACGGACAACAGGGTTGGAAGCAGTCAGCCAAGGTTGTAAAGCAGTGTGCACCTAGGTCTTACCTAGTAAAGACGGCAGCAGGCGGCGTACTGAGGCGGGAGTCTGCAGTCGCCGTACATCCAGTTTCCAGCGTCAGATTCCTCGGAGGTCTACCAATCTCCGATTTCTAAGCATGCTGATCCAGTTCTACCTCCAAATCCTGGGAGTAACAGTGGAGGCCCTCCAGAGCAGCCTCCACCATCTCCATCATCGCACTTGTCCATGGAGCCAGTGACGTCAAAAATGCAGAATCAGCAGGCGACATCTACAACTGCAGTGGCAGCACGCAATTCAGCAGAAGCGGCAAAGCCATCGTTAAGCCAGCATGTTACCGTGACGAATGATATGAAACTCATGGACTGTTTCTCAAAGCCAATGTGTAGCTACATTGTGCTTTGAGCTAGTATTGTGTTGATGCGTTCCTTTGTTTTTCTTTTTCACTCTAATCAAAATAGAGAACAGTAGACTGTTAGTTAGGAAGTAGACTGTTAGTTAGGAATTGGTGTTTCCAAATGGCCTTTTTCAGGTGAGCAGCACCCTGAATGTGTAGGCTGATCTCACCTGATTTAAGTTGCTGTGTAGACTAGCAACAGTTATAGGTTTATTTTACTTTATTTTTTATTTTCTGGTGGATTACAAGTTACCTTTACAGGAAGGACCTTATTTTCCAACACTTCAATTGCCTAAAAAGACCGCTTCAGCCAGGGTGGATTTAAAGTATAAACCGTCACGAGAAGTAAAAACTACATTTTAGCCCACATGTGAATAAGACATTGTTCCCCTGCACATTTTAATTTAATGTCATTTTGGAAACATAGGGTCTGGGGTGTATAAAGCTGTGTCTGTGTCTCTAGTTTTTGCGCCATTTGACTGGTGAAGTAAACCTCGCTACACCCCGCGAGTTTTCTCCCACTGTGGTTGGATAGATGGATGGATGAATGGATGGATGGACGGACGGACGGACGGATGGATGGATGGATCCTTTCTCAACAACTCTCAAGAGCACATCGGATGAATACATTGGCACAGTCCATGCCGGCTTTAACTCATTCGCTACGCCGAGCCGTAGGGGGCGGCGCGGCTAAAGTGCCGTCAGTACGCTAAGCCGCCCCAGGCGGCTCGAGAACCGACGTTCAATTTTAGCTTGGTTTCTATTCCAATCCACATATCCATGTTATAATAAAGGTCATAATATAAAGTTGACTTCCGGGTCCAGCGTTTCCACCGAAAATCTGAAGTTTTGATTCAGTTTTGAAACACCATTTCGAAGTTTATGCGACATTGTTTTATCACGAAGCCCAAATTATAGCCCAGACACAAGTCTTAGTAGCCTACTTTTACACATCAAAATGTTTTTGTGTATAATTATTTTTCTCACTAAAGAAATGTAGGACTCTTCTTTATAATATTGATACTACTGGACTCAAATTGCCAGTGCACTGTAATTGAGAAATCAATATTTTTGAGTGCTAGATCTAAATAGTCAAAATATTTTTTTTCTCCCCAAAAATCACTACTTTTTGGTGAATTTACTCTAAAAGTACCACCCAAGACAAATGTTTAGGTTTATTCCAAATGCAATTCTGAATAAATCCATATAAGATACGAATGTTTTTTTCTGTTTGGGATCCTTTTTTCAAAATTATTTTTAAATTAATTTTTTTTTCAATATCGGAGGTTATGATCCAAATGTACAAATATTTTGAAATGTATGTAAATAACTGCTCATTTTTCAATATTTTCTTGTTCTATATACAGATATGGTTATTTTGATGTATAATTTGACTAGGTGCAAACATATTTTTTGAGTTTCATCTGAGATTATTAATTTTTTGTTTTCAAATTTTATCCGCAGCCAATCACAATTGTGTTGCATAATCGCCTCTTACAGGAACCAAAGTAGAAAAATACTCAAATAAACAAAACAGATGTATTCTATAAACCATACTGAAAATGTTGGTATATAATATGTTGATATTTATTTGAATTTATGGCCTCCAAGACCTGTGAGCTGCGCACTAGTCATCATCTCATTTCGCCCTACCGAAAATAATTCGTCCACAAGCCGAAAATAGTACGTAGCGAATGAGTTAAGCACGGTCATCGGGAGAAAGCTTAAGCGTGCTTAATGCTGAAGCGTGCTTGAGTGCGAAGTAGATATAATCCAGAGATTTTCACGTAGAAAATTTCCCGTGCTATTTCCCTTCGTTTGTAAATAGGCCTATAGCGGTCCTCCAAAAGTGTGCACTGTTATTTTTACCCGCCTTGGTAGACTCTAGTTTCTGTTTGCTTAAAATTGTTTTTGTTCTGTGGTCGTATGGGAATTTAGACGGCCAGTCATGATACAGCACACTAGGCCTACACACTGCCTGTGCGTACCACTGCCCTGCCACATTCATACCACCGCCTTCATCCCACCCGCGCGTGATACACAATCAGGATTAATGGATAGCGAGCTATACGTTCTCTGACCGTTTAGATAGCGAGGGTCAAAAGTGAAATCGCAGCCAGCCTCCCTTTCTCGTCTCCCCGACTCTCTTTGCATTTTTTTTTGTCTGTGTGTAGCTTTGCCCTAGGCTAGATCCTATGTCCACGCGCGCGGCTGTGTGCATCTCTCTGCCTTCCTCTCCTCGCGTGTGACCATCAATTGCTTTCTTTGTGTTTCTCTTAACACACTCACTGCTGCAGTGTAGACTGTGTTCGAACTTCGATGGGTCATCGCGAAAGTATTGACTGTCTTGTAAAAGCGTGCCTGAAACTGAAGTTACCGTGCTTAAAGGCGTGTAATTTATATAGCAAAAATTCGGCAAGAGCCGTTTAGCGTGCTTGAGTCTGAAATGTGCTTTATGTCAGCGTGCTTAAAGCCGGCACCGACTGTATAGAAACTAGATCTAGATCTAGATCTAGCAATCTTTAAAAAAAAAAAAACTGTACTACGTAGATCTAGGCCTACGTACTAGATCTAGATCTAGATCTATATTTTTTTCAGATCAAAAGAACACATTAGAAATACAAATACCACATAGCAAGATCAAATGTCACATAAAAAGTTTCAGCATCTAGACTCTAGATTCTAGATCTAGATCTAGATCTAGATCTAGATATATCTAGATTCTAGATCTAGATCTAGATTCTTGGCTAGGCCTACTCTCAACTGACTCAAGTGTTTCAAGTAAGATCATTAACTTCAATGCGAAGGCCATAAGACAAGGATCTGCTTCAAAGATTGTCCACCTTTGCACGATAACCTAAGACGTAATACGAGAAGCCCTGCTTAATTATCTACCAGTATTTGGGCTTATTACCACGAATTGTCTCCATCAAGAAATACAGAATTCAATTATTTCAACTGAAGTGAATTCACGAGCGTCCATAGTTACCTTTCATGAAGTTCCATCGAGAGACATCCGGTTTGAAATGAAATTGAATTCGTAGAAAATCCATTTCATGTTGGGTTTTTTTGTTCGACTTGATGAATTCTTATCAAAGATGCAAAGTATATAGTTGATGCCATGGGTCTACCCCTACCTCGTCGTTTTTTTTTAGAGCATTCGAGCAAAGAAACAAATGGTGAACCATAGTCACGGACGGCTGTCGTAGATCTAGATCTGGATATCTAGCACTTCATGATGATAATTCATTTTTTCATTTACTTTTTCTTTAAGGAAGGGGGGGGGGGGGCTACACCTGGAGGCTATCTCGCTTATTACTCGACCGAATTTTACCACATTTCACACATATAACAAGCATAGTAAGGAGTCTTAAAATCCGCAATCAAATTTGAGAAAAAAGTTTCGTTTCCATGGATACGCCGCCATATTGGATTTTATTGACATGTCTTACGTAATGAATACCGCATTTATCGCTGATGGAAATTGATTGGGGTTTTTTTTGCATGCGTGTTCACAAACATTAGATCTAAAAATGTGTCTGTTGTTTTTTTCCTAATCGAATTAGAAAATTTTTAATGAATTTTTTCCTGAGGTAGCATTCAAGTTTGCGAAAAATCCGTGAAAATCCACACTCCAGACACCACCAACAAAAATCTATTCCATATATCAAAAATTCAACTGACGAATTTTTAGTATTACCTCTTCTCTTCATTCTGTGAAAATTTTATGAAGATTGGATGAAAAATGGTGGAGTTATTCAAAAATGTATAGAGGAAAGTCGTATTTTGAGAAAACGGCCGATAAAGAAAAATAAAATACTGACTTTATGAGGAAATGGCGGTTACAAACAGGTTCGGTACGGGGGGAAATACGGTTTTTGGGGGGTTCTTATGCGATGAAATAGTTGTAGGAGAGGTTGAGGAAGCTAAAAATGCCTACAACTCAAATTCCATGATTTTGAGCCGAATTTTGATTTTGGGGGTGAACCCCCCCCCCCCCCCCCCCCCCCCCCCCCTTAATTCTTAAACCTTCTCCCTGTTCCGTCAGTCGACGCCACGCATGGTTGTCCCTGGCCACATCCTCTAGCCTTTTTGTTTGTTTGTTGTAGATGTAAGTAAGTGTTTTACGGCGCTCGCAACTGCATAAGGGCGCGCGGGACACATAAAACATTTTCAGTTGGTAGGACATTTTGAATTTTGCCCAGGTGGCGGCCGAAGCCTACTCTTGTCAATTTTGGACTTCAGGGATCTTTAAAGTGCGCAACTTGCACACAGAACCTTCGAGATTTTTCACCCTTGTCCGAGAACGCTAGGTGTAGATATTTCCTACCAGAAGACCAGGGGTGTGGCTGAAAGACAGCAGTAAGAAGGAGCCAAGGAGTAGCAGTCGAAAGGCTGCAGAAAGAGTCAGGAGCCCAGAGGAGTGGGCAAAGGAGGTACGGGTGGGGCAGAAAGTGGAGACGAAAGCGGACGACAGAACATTGCAAGAGAGCAGGAAAGGAGGTGAAGGGGAGACAAGTTTAGAGAAGAATTTTCTTTTCCGTCGCTACCCGGTCTTCTTCTTCTTCCTCCTCGTTCTCGATGACAGCAGCTAGACAGTCAGTCCGATGTCGCGCACAAACTGTGCAGTTCGCTTCAACTTTCAACTCTGTGAGACTGCCATAGAGCTTTCTCTCAAGGGGAGCCATATTCTGCCACGTCTGTGTATGAAGGGTGGTGTAGCGCGAGCAGTGCTGAAGGATAATATGGTTGGCATCCTCTTGGTCGTGTCCACATTCACAGATCGCTGACTCTCCCACTTTTAATTTGATGTGCATGTGGCGTTTGAGTTTGTAGTGGCCACAACGGAGTCTAAAGATTGTAACCTGGTCTGCTCTTTTTAGTATGTAGTAGGGGTGTGGGACCTTTTCCATCTGTTTCTTAAGGCTGATCTTATTAGTGTTTTTGACTCTGAGAGATCCATGCCATCTTCAATCTGGGTCATTTTGGCTCCTTCTTTGGCTAAGTCGTCTGCTTTTTTATTTCCTTGAGTGCCACAGTGACCTGGTATCCACTGCAAGGTTGTGTTGGCTTGGGAGTTTAGATCACATAGGAGTGAAAGGAGTTGTCGTACTTGAGCTGTTTGTGGCTTTTGGAGAGCTTGTGGGCAGAATTGTGAGGATGACGGTGTTGGCTTTAGATTTTTGGTGATTCAAGAGAATGGTGGCTGCTTTTTCGAGTGCTGATGTTTCTGCTTTGTAATTGGAAGATAGCGATCCAGTGGGGATGGAATGGCTTTCTGTTGCCCCATCTGTCCACTCTATGTAGATACCTCCACCGCTGTTTCTGACTGCATCAGTTGCTGATCCATCTGTGTAAATTCGATTCCCCCGGTTGCTTGGGAAGTTTCTGTCCAGGTAGTCGAGCGTCAGTGACTTGAGTATTGGAGGAGGGACTTCAGATTTGGTGCCAAGCTTTTCTAGGTCCTCTTGAATTTGAGGGGGGAGGGTGATTAGTTTGAAGGGCGTGGACTTGACACGGGTCTAGTGGGGTTGGAGATTCTTCAAGAGAAATTTCGAGTCCAGAGCCGGAGTGTCTGGCCATATGGAGGAAGCTTGTTCTTTTTAAGCGTTTACTCTGGCTTTTTGAAGATATATCCTACATTGGTTGGGTTGGCATTCTTTTTACCTTTTCCTGATTAGCAATCGCTTTCAGACGCGCAGTCGTTCAGGGGTTCTGGCCCCGTTAGTGTTTCCATGACAAGAATGGCCGTGGATCTCATTGCTCCCGTGATGATCCGCAGATTTTGATTCTGGATTTTCGTTACTTTGTGGAAGTAGCCTAGCTGTCTGACGCTGTTCCCCACGCTGCGATACCATATTCCAGGACTGGGCGGACATATCCAACATAGGCTCCACTTTCTAAGCCGTGCTGTTGTTCCGTTACCTTTACTTCTGCACCTCTTTATTTGGGCTTGCCACGTTAGTCTTGGATCAAACGTCACACCCAAATAGGTGGGATTTGACTCGTGTTGTAGAGTGTTTCCATCGAGATGCAAGTTTACCTTTCGGGGTTTTGGTGAGAGGCTGAATGTTGTGTACGTGGTCTTGTTCTTGTTGATCTTCCGTCCTCACTCTTCTGTTGTTACGTGTGCTTTGGAGTCGCACCTGGGCTGTTCCTACTGATTCTGCCGAACATAAAAGAGTGATGTCATCTGCGTACTCCGCTGCTGTCACTTTCTAGGTGATGGTGGTTGAAATGTCGTTGAGCTCTTCGGACCAGTTTGGAACATAGTCCCTTCTAGCTCCTCTGGGGATGGACTCTTTTGCCGCTTGCAATATGGCCTGTGTGAACTGTTCGTGTTTGAGGTTTTGGCATGAATTTTAGTTGTATATACATCTGTAAGAGATGCAAATTTGGTCCAGTCTGCCTTCTTGTGGTTCCATCTGGGCAAGGTACTAGTTGATACGGTGAGGGGAGGGACTTGGCTGGTGATTAAGATGGGTTTGTGGTCACTAGTTGCAAGTTGTTCTATGACTTGTTTTGTTGATCCTCTGCTGATGTTGTTGCTGGGTGAGACGTGGTTTTCCAAGCTCTGGAGAAGAAAGTGGGCTGATCGTCTGGTTTGTTGAGCAGGTGTAGCTTTGTGAAAGCTTGCCAGTCTTCTATTTCTTCTCCTTTGGCATCTAGGTCTCTGTATCCTCAGCTTGGAGAATAACTGTTGAAGTCACCAAGTACTAAGCAATCTTCTGCTGGAATGTCCATCCCTTGAAACGTGAGTGCTTTTTGAGGAGGTGCATAGCAGTTGTAGACTGTTACAATCCGGTCTGGGAGTTTGAGCTCGACTCCTATGATTTCTGACTCACCTGTATCTTGCACCCTGATTTCTTTCGCCGGGATGGAGTTGGCGACTAGGGTGAGCACTCCTCCTTTAGGTGCGTAGTTCCTATCCTTTCTAAAGGTTTGGTAGCCTCTGATTTTAAACCTCATTGCTGAAGTAAGGTGCGTCTCTTGCAGACAGACTATATCAATCCTTTCTCTGATGAGGTCGTCTTTTAGGGCATCTTTCTTGTTGTAAATTCCTTCGCAGTTCCATTGGAAGGTTTTTAGAGGTCTCTGCTGACTCTCTGGGGATGATTGGCCAGTCGTCGTTTCCCGCTGATCTCTTCTCTTGGCTCCCCTGGAAGAGACAGAGGTACCCCCAGTAGCTTAGGGTGGGCCCCTTCGAGGCAGTGGGCCCGGCACTTCATCCGCCGGGCGGGATTCCACACATGAAACACCACATCGAAAATCATGTTTGGATCCTGTCATCATAATGAGACTTGCGTGAGGCGGTTTGGGCTAGCCAGACTATCGGCACCTTTCGGTCCACCTCTCCGTCTTCTGCGTGCTTTTGTGTCTGGGAGTGCTCCCATATCCTATAACTTTCCTGAGTTTGCCTGATAGGCAGCAGGGGTTTTTGATCAGAGTTTTCCTTCTCCTAGATGAACTGCCATCCCTGGCTATCGAGTCCCATCTAACCGGGGTGTGGGGATATCGCGCCCCAGTCTCGCTAGCGAGTCTTTCACCGGGCACTTAGGGTATTTTACATTGAGTAGAAGTGGGTCGGGAGGATATAAATAGACTCACTGCTTCGTCGGCAGAAGGTGCAACCCCTTCAAAGGCGGAGTGTCTTGGAGAGATCCGAAGGAAATATTACAAATGCAAGAAATTGCAAGACATTTTTTCCGTCGTTGGTCCCAGCAAAATTTTGAATTTTATGAAGGCCATTGGCCTTTATGGCAAATTGTAAAATGAAAACGTACTATTTAAAATTTTTATTGTTTATAAGAGTTGTTTTAAATTGCAAATATATTTACACTGAATTTTAATATTTTAGCATTTTAGCATTTTAGAGTCAATTAGTTAACCAATCGTGCAGTGAACTTTTGCGAAAGTAAACAACTTGTGTTTCGCGCGCTCATATGACCTTAGCAGTTGCGAGCGCCGTAAAACCCTATACAACTACTAAGGAGTGCCCGACTTGGCTCCAAGAACGCGCCATCCAGGAATACAAGGCGCGAAACGGCTGGTCCTTCCAGGAGGCCTGTAAGGTTGTCTGCCCGCCAATCACAACCCCAGTCATTGGCCGGTCGTATTCAAAGGCAGCCCAGGAGGTCACAAGGTCGGCAAGTAATTCTACTGCCGACCTCCCAAAGCCCGCGGTCAACAGGCAAGTCTCTGTGCCTAAGAAGAAAAAGCCCGCTACTATCCCTGTGGTAACCCCCTTTGAGGTGCCACTCTCTAACCGCTATGGGGTTC